GATAAACTACTTCTGTTTAGTATCTAGTAAGATTAGAAAGAGTCCATCAAAAGCAAGTTTCGTCTGAGTTCTGCAGTTATTTTTATATACAAACACTTTCGGTATTTGTGAGCAAGAACCCCGAACAAATGTCTGCGATATATTTAACAGGAACAGCAATTCGGAAACGTTTCTTTCATGTTACCCAAGATCCATTCGAACACAAAGTTGGCAATCATAATACCATTAGGGAGGAAATCCACCGGCCAAATTAGTTAAATTTAATTTAAAGAAGCGCCTCTTAATGGGTCCCTCCGCCTTAAATTAGTTGCCTCAGCCGGTCTTACTCTAACTAGTAGTGTTTCTAATTGCTTTTTCATCGTTTCTTTAAATCCCCTTCAGTATAAATTGGATTTTCTTTTCGATCTGTGTCTTTTTGCTAGTGTTGGCTTCTGGATACGATACCGAATTTTATCAATAGTGGTATACAGAATTTTAAATGAACATTTAAAATTAATGGGTGTTAATATTTTTCTATTGTGTATTTGCTTAATTATTGTATTTTTGCGTTCCTGTTCGCGAACGAAAGCACATCAACTAAAATCGATTTGTATATAAAATAGTTTAGTTGCAAATTAGTAGTTAAAAAGCTTACGAATTTTACAAAATGTTTTTTAAGCACTGAGAATAACTGGGCAATCTTCTCAACTAGGAGAAGAAAATGTTTTAGCTTCCATATTGATATATTTTATGGTAATTGATGAAATTACTTGAAACTTGACTTTTTTGTATACAAACATACCTATGAAAGACTATTATTCTACTAAGCAAAGGGTGTACACATGCAAAGTTTTGTCTAACAAAATGTATAGAATATATAAAGAATATTTAATATGCATTTAAATAAATATACAACTATTAAACAATTTTTATAAAATATAATGTAATAATAAAACATAATGTAGAATGTATACAGTATTTGAATTTCAGAAATTTCAAAATCAAGACTAAAGAGGTCTTCATGAAACGAGAGCCATATAATTTAACTACATTTTTAATGCTTATTTATAAGTCTTTCTATAGTCTTATTATATATTCATATACTTATTATATTTTGATTTTTTTTTATTTACTCATGTGTAATGTACGTCTACATACTTGCAACATGTGGAATAAATAATAATAAATAAATATATTAAAAAGCAAAAACACCAAAGTCAGTGATTTTTTCGTAATTATGTACAGATTACGATGATACAAGAAGAAAAATTACTTATTGGAAATAAAATAATGCATTAAAACGAAATGTTTCTAAAAAGTTGTACTTTCTAAGTACTAACTAAAAATACTTTTATTGCAAGTTATACTAAAGCAGCTGTTACACTCACTAATAATTGTCGATGTTAATAATTTATAAAACTGCCTGGGCTTTTGTCATTTTTAGTAAAATATTTACAAAACAGGGCAGAAAGACCGATTGGATCTTTGGAGGTGCAGTCAGGAAAATTTTCATAATAGACGGAAATGCTTGGGAATTACAGCATTATGGGACGAGTGGAGGATGTACCTCCACCACTACCTAAAGAAAACATACAAGAAACTTAAGGGAAAGCTAGCAAGGGAAAAAATCGAAAAAGTTTCCTGACTGATACAAGAACCTTGCCCTTATTGATGATGGCAGAAAATACCGAAACTTATTATTTGAAAGTCTGCTGAGATGCACTCAGAATAATTTTAATATTGTTACTTAAGTACTTAAATTATTTATACGATAAGCTGCATCGTTACTGTGTACAGGGTGAGTCATAATAAAGTTATGAAAAATGAAGCAAAGTCCAGTCAAAGAAAATGTTTCTTTCCGAAAATACAGGGTGATAAATACTCATTTAAAAAATTTAAATTTGTTTCTATAGGAATGCCAGTGGCACGTTTTCTCATGCGTAAACAATAATGTTAGTTTTACTAGCGACGTTCATAATGGCACGTGTCCAGATATTTGTGCAGAAAAAAAAATTTTAAATTGGTTTTTCAATCCACAGTTTTTATGAACATGAAAAAAATGCGTGTTATTTTCCAATTTATTTAAAAGAAAATACATCCCTTGAGAGTTATTTGTTCGATGCACCATTTTCAAACAAAATAATTAATACTTAATGCGTGCGTTGATTGATGGATTTAAATAAGTTATTATTTAGTATTAAAAAGTTAAATTTGAAATTGAACAAAATGTTCAAAATGCTTTCACACTGCCGAAAAAATGATGCATTAACTGATTGAATATTTTTTTCTATAAATAAAAATATCTTGAGGCGCTCAACAGCCGACGGTCAGTGAACTCGAGATGAAAAACCAGAAAATAAATTCGATTACCCAATTTTAATAAAAAGCAAACAGAGCCAATAATATTCTCAGAATCAGATTCTTAATTAAAATTCAGGTTTTTCGGTCGAATCGATAGGAACAAATCGGAATTGCCTTTGAAAGGTTTTCGAATCTCCTTTAATAATGTTGTTGTTTTCAAGCAATTACAACCGTTTCCTTGTTTTATATTTTTAATAGATTTAATCAATTTCGGAATAAGACTTGCATTAAAACGGGGATACTGGCCTTTAAATTTTAATTTAACTAATTTGAACCTGAGGAGTGTTTCCTAACGACCATATGATTGTTTGATGGACGTGCTGCTGTGCTACCCCTGTTTTTCCCTTATAAATCGATCTGGAAACATTTTAATCAAATACTTGACTGGGGCGAAAGATTAGTGGAACTAAACTGCTTAGAAAAATTTGAATTTAATAGTAGTTCTTGATTCTTTTTACTTTTAACTACTACTAATGACTAGACCTGAATAAAGAATTCGTCAAAGTGATGAAAACTTTGAAAAATATTCGATGTGAAATCGCGATGCAAGGAGGACATTCAACATATTCTTGCGAAAACCCTGAAGTGAAAAACGATTTCTATTTCCAGTTTGATCAACATTTCAGACTGAAATAAATAATGCCTGTTTAAGATACGTTTCAGAGAACCTCCCATACTGAAGAATGTTCCATAAATTGTGCTATTTTCAAATAAGTAGTTTAATTACAAGATTCTTAAAAAAAGTAACACACTACTTCATGACAACGTTTAAGCAACCGTTAGTGATTATCTGTGGAAATTCAAACGATTTTCAAAAAACTTATATTAGCATTTAACAAGTTATAGTTTGTTCGGATTTTATAACCGTGTCCTAATTTATTCTATGTGACTTTAAGGAAATGTTCTACATCAAAAACTAATTTTCAAAAATCTCATACACTGTAGTCCAAAAGTGCCTAGCGGAGGTAGCGGCTCTTAAAAGTGTCCTCCTTCAGTGATTCTTTAAATTCCAGTTAATTGGGATTACATTTTTTTTAAAGAGGTTTAAGAAGAGACAACCCAGAGACTAGAGATATACGTGGCTAGGGATGGGACATCGATGGTAGCCATCGATGTTGACATCGAAAGGTAGTGGCGATGTTAGGGAAACATTGAAGGCAGAACATCGATGTTTGACAACATAATTTTATTTTACTACTACTATGACATTTTAAAACAATGCATTGGTAAATAATCGACTAAATTTATTCGACTTATAGGTTATACTTATAGGTGCCACATTTTTCGGTTAACTGATTGCAAAAACAGGATTTTTTCGGGTGCAGCTGAAAATGTTTCTTCTATGCCGCGGTATCGTTTGTATCGGCTCTATCAAAGAGTTCGCAGAAAATGTTTCTATCTAGTATCATCATCAAATATCCGATGTTTTAATTTCAGAATCTAACATCGATGTTTTATCGATGTCCCAAATTTCCAACATCTATGGTAAAAATATCGAGCATCGAACGAATTACATCGATGTTTGCAAAACATCGATATTTTTCTCCCATCCCTATATGGGGCACATTAAAACTTTGACAGGACGTATCTATTTAGAAGGTAGCTTTGAGGCGTACTCGTAAACTTTTCTTGAAACTCCGTAATTTTTATGTAACAAACTACATCTTGCGAATTTTTGAAAAAGTCGATAGTTTTCGAGTCATTTCAAAAGTTTTCAAAGAACTTTATTACTTAAGAGAATCTTCTTATCAACATTTAACTCCACTATGGAGAATTTTTGAATGTGCGTTTCGTTCGTTTGAATGTACATTTTCGCTTTGTTTTAGGTCGTAGAATATTCCCTCAAAACCTCGCATAGGAAAATAATAAAGATCATCGTTAATATAATCAAAAATCATTCAAACACCCAATCGATTCGGTCATGCGATCATGAAATCACTCGAAAACTATTGACTTTAAAAAATTTCAAGGAGTTCGATTTTGGAGAAAAACTATACAGTTTAAGAAACACTTGCCGCATTGCTTCAACGTAGTGGTAGCAGTATAAAACAGTTGGACCTGTAAAATTTTCGAACGTCCCCGGTATCTCTTTTGAAAGTTTTTCTGATTACTTTTTCTAAATTACACACCAGTACACAATTTATGAATTTATTTTTTAACTAAATGGGCTGTAATTAGGTTTAATAAGGTTGTGAGACTTAAAAACAACAAAACGTAGTACAAGCGTAACAAACATACGGAGTTTCAGGCCTTTCTCCTGTTAATAAATTTAAAAATTAAGACTTGGTAAAGGGAGTTTTATGAACTGCTTCTTCCTCTAGTTTACACTTTGTCTAGTAGATTTTCTAACTTGCAAAATAAATTGTTAAATTGGACTGTTTTAACAGAATGTAATTTCTTCCAAATTTAAAATACTTCTTATAGTGTCTTTATTATAACTATAAACCCGCATAGAATATTGATTTCATTTGAATAATTCTATATTTTTTAAATCCTCCATGTCCATATAAAAGTATGCAATTTCAACGCTGGTTCTTTTGGATACCGTGGGCCCATGGAAAATTTAATACTCACGGTGTTTGCTGATATCTTTCACATAAATGACTGTGAATAGTTGTTGATTGAAAGGGAAAGTTTTTGATGTTTTTCCTCCATTTCAGGTAATTTCTACTATCTGTGGCGTTCAGCGAGTAGCGCCGGAACGATGCTTAGCGTACCGGCGCCCTCAGCCCCTGTACCGCCATTGGCTGATCCAGTGCTTCCTCCGCCTGCAGCGCAGGCTGCTTTCGCCCCACCGGATACTGATCAAGCACAATTTGAGGCGGATAAAAGATCTGTTTATAAGTAAGTATTTGAGGCTACTGAATTTTCTTGTCATTGACAAAATGGCTCTGATTTTCAGGCACCCGCTGTTTCCTCTCTTAGCGCTTCTTTTTGAGCGGTGCGAGCTAGCAACACAATCTTCTGAACCTCAATCTAGCGACGCGTTTAATTTAGATATACAGGCATTTGTTCAGCACCAGGAACGGGATAGAAAGCCTTTTTTAGCCAACGAACCTGAAATAGATGGACTGGTACGTATCGACACTGCTTTAATATCTACTAGATAAGAACAGTAAACAAATTATTCTGTTGAGTGAAATTTTTACGGGTGTCTGTTCAATTTATCCATTATATTGAAAATGTGTGGCTCTAAAAGACAATTTTTAGTCCTATCAGCTGTGCTTAGCTTGAAATGGCCAGGACTTCAAAATGTGCGCAACTGGTTTTCTACATTTAATTCGAAACTCGCGAATTTTGCAAGAAGACTAGGCACATTCTGAAAATAATGTTTGAGATAAAAAAATTACCCATTTCAAGGTTTTATTGCGAAATTTTAACTATGGTTTTACAGCTCAATCGGTTCTCTAATTTGATCCAAAGGCTGTGAGCTGTGAGCGGTTTTCAAGACCCTTTTTAATTATGATTTTTTGTATTTTGCGTAGCTACTAGAAACATTGGAAAAATGATGTTTGATATAAAAAGTGTGTATTTTAAGTTTCTATCCTGCAATGAGAAGTAGAATTTTGCAGCTCATCCGGGAGTAAAATTTGAGTTAAAAACACGGTTTCACGACACGCTTTAATTTGAAGCTTTTGCATTTGGCAAGAGAACTAGACACATTCTGAAATTAATGTTTGGGATAAAAAAAAGTACTAATTTCAAGTTTTATTCCGAAAATTCAACAAGTCTTTGCAGCTCAATCGGTTCTTTAAATTTCAGCAAAAGGCTATGAGCGGTTTGCAAAACCCGCTGTAATTATGAATTTTTCAATTTTGAGTAACTTCTAGTACGTTGGTAAAATTATGTTTGCTATAAAAAGTGTGTATTTTAAGGCTGTATTCCGCAGTGACCAGCAGAGCTTTGCAGCTTATCTGAGGGCATAATTTGAAACTTTTGCATTTTGCAAGAAAACTGGACAGATTCTGAGAATAACGTTTGGGGTAAAAAGGTGCACATTTCAATGCTCTATTCTGACATTTAAACTTGAGCTTTTCAATTCAACCGGTTCTCTGGTTTTGAGCCAAAGGCTAAGGCTATTTTTTAGACCCGCTTTAATCATGAATTTTCGCATTTTGCGTAAATACTAGAACCATTCCTAAAATGATGGTATAAAAAATGTGTATTTCAAGGCTCTATCCCGCAGGAGGTCTGAATTTGAGCAACAAACTAACAGCGGTTTTCAAGACCTGCTTTAATTGGAAACTTAAGCATTTTGCAATAAAACTAGACACATTCTGAAATGATTGTTTGGTATAAAAAAGTATGCATTTCAAGGTTTTATTCCAAAATTTTAACTTTCCAAAGGTTTAAGCCTTTTTCAAGACAGCATTAATTATGGATTTATGCATCTTGCGTAAATACTAGAAATGTTTCTATAATGATGATTCACTAAAAAGTGCGCTTTGGAGCTCATCTGGATATTTAAAGTTTAGCTAAAACTAAGAACGGTTCTCGTAATGCGCTTTAATCTAGAATTTTGGCATTTTGCGAGAAAACTATGAATATTCCGAAGATAATTTTTGGTATAAAACAGTGCGCATTTCAAAGCTCCCTCCCGCAATGTCAATTCGAGGTTTGCAGGTCATCCGGATATCTAAATTTGAGCCAATAAAACATCGGTTCTATAGACCAGCTTTAATTTCAAAATTTTGCATTTTGCAAGAAAACGGAAAACATTTTGAAAATAACGTTTGGGATAAAAAAAAGTACATATTTTAAGGTTTTATGCCGAAAAGGTTCTGAGCGGTTTTCAAGCCAGCATTAATTATGGATTTTTGCATTTTGCGCAAATACTAGTAATTTTTCTAAAATTGTGTTTCGCATTTCAAGGCTCTATCCCGCCGTTCCAATTAGAGCTTTGGAGCTCATCCGGATGATTAAAGTTTGGCCAAAAGTAGAAACATTAGGATAATATTGTTTGGGATAAAAATTAAAAAGTGCGCATTTCAAGTCTATTCCGAAATTTCAACTGGAGCCTTGCAGCTCCAACCGATTATGTAAATTTGGACTAAAGGCTAAGTGCTGTTTTTAAAACTTGCTTTGATTCTCAATTTCCGCATTTTCCGCAAAATGTATGTTTGGCAAAAAAAGTGCAAGCCTTAAGGCTCTGCCCCACAATGACAATTGGAGGTTTGCCTAATCCAAACCTAACAGCGGTTCTCTAGACTCGCTTTAATTTGAAATTTTCGCATTTTGTAAGAAAACTGGAACGACTGAAAATAATGTTTGGGGTAAAAATAAGAAAGTGCGCATTTTAAGGCTTTATCCCGAAATTTCAACTAGAGCATTGTAGCTCAACGGATTCTGAAAATTTGAGCCAAAGACAGAGCGGTTTTTAAAACCTACTTTGATGCAAAATTTCCACGTTTCCACACAAATATTGTGTTTGATATAAAAAAATGCGAATTTCAAGGCCTTATCCCGTAATGATAACTAGAACTTTGGAGTTCATCCGAATGTACAAAATTTCGCATTTTGCCCGAAAACTAATAACATTCTGATAATAATGTTTGCGATAAAAAAAATTCGCATTCCAATTAGTCTTTAGGGTGGACACTTTATTATATCTAGGATATAATAATGCTACACCTGGTTCTTATTGTTTCAATTCTATCGCGTATCATACCTGTGGATAGTGGATACTGTGGAACTATGTAAACGCCCCAGGATACACAAAAGTAGTTTACATATCGCATTTATTGACGGCAGGAAAAAATCGAAGTTTGCAAACTATGTGAGATAATAATGGTATCACATCAATAATTATGTGTATAAGCAAGGATTGGATTACAAAACTGTTGTGTAAACTTGAAGCAAGTGTCACATATCAAATAAAAACCGCGTAACAAACAATATCTTAAATTCTAGTCTAATCGCACCTTATGATTATATTATTTATTATTGCGACAAGCGTTGGCTTTCCCACAGAACTTTGACAAGAACATTTTATTGCTGCGTAGCGATTCTCAAGTGTTGAAAGCCCCAAAGAAATTATTTCGTAAATTTGATGTTATATTTAATTAGTAATCGCTACGCTTCCGAAAACATCGAAAATCGACGATATCTTGGATTTTTTAAATGGAAAGTCCCTATTTTGATTTCATATTTGTATGCAGCATTAAATTTTGAATTTAAAACATTCATTTGTCGACAATTATCTGTCACAGTTTTTGACATATGTCACATTTATTGCAAAAACCTGGGATGCAGACGTTTATTTGAAAAATCATAACTCCTGAACCATTCCTATTTTTTTATTTAATTTTCAAAAGTTTGGACTACATTTTGCATTGATTCTGACACGTTTGTTATTCGTGCGTCTGTTGCGGTGTTTTAAAATTAACAATCAAAAAATGACTGCATTACGATTTCTGATAAAAAAATCAAATTTACAGATTAATTCTATAGCCGACCACTTGATAAGAAAACAGTAATATGTCTTCCAAAAAATGCCAATAACTCATAAGCAATGAACGTACACAATGTTAATAAGAGTGGACTTAAAATTCAATTTTACATTCATTTTTCAGAGTCAGAAATAGTAGTTGCCATTTAAAAAGTGAAGTTTTTGTCATTTTTTTAAGGTCTACTTTGGAAAATCGCAGCAGAAGCATTAAACATAACAAAAGTGTCAGAATCGATGCAGAATGTCTGCCAAACCTTTCGGAATTGAATTAAATAATACCGATTGATTTATTTGCAAATGGTTCAGGAAATATGAATTTGTTAATGAACCTCTGCTACCCTGTTTTTTTGCAAAAAAATGGCAGCATAAGTCAAAAACTGACAGATAAGTGTTGACAAATGGACATTTTGAACTCACAATTTAAAGCTGAAACTGTTTTTAAAATAATACGAATTTAATCAAAATCTAATTTAATTTTCACGTGTCAAATACTTTAGAAGTATTTAAGTTATGTAAGTGTAATTTATAGTGAAGTGTAACAAGTATAATATTTTATATCCGAATGATAATAAACTTGCCATGTTATACAGGGTGTCAACAAATTGAAACTAATCAAACAAGAACTTTAAGTGGCTCTAACTTGATTGATTTAAATACAACCCCATATTTTTCTAACTTAACAGGAAATGCAATTTTTAATTACCTATCGAATGGTATTAAGATGTTAATAGCTAAGTTTTTGTCTTTACAAAATACGTCAAATAGTCGTTCTGTGCACCATTTGGTGTTGTTTAATTTAACGTTTAGGGCTTTCCGAGCAGATTACGGTCGACATAATCGACCCACAGAGCAAACAATTTCGTACAGTGGAAACATTTGAAGACTTGATCGGGTTACTGATATTGTCAGGCCTGTGCATGTTTTCCCGACGTGCTCAACATTTGGGCTTGTCTTACGGCTCATTGTGGCGATTTTGCAATTGGATTTTAAGCTCCATCCGTACAAAGTCCCACCTGACTCAAGAACTTAAGCCTCAAAATCATGCAACGCAGAACATACGCAAATTGGGTGATTGAACAACAAGCCGTTGATTCTTCAGCCATGAAGCACATTTTTCGCTCGGTGGTTAGGTGAATAAACAGAAGAGCCGTATATGGGGCTCTCAAAATTTGCCGTTTTCATTCTTCGGCTTCTCCAACTCCGAGCCTGTTAAGTTATAAGTAACACACAGTATCCATAGACATATTTTTTTAATATCAAATTTAAACACGATTTCTCGAGGATTGCTTCGTTTCAATCAATAATCACTTTAATCTGTCGCTATTCTTCAATTTTAATTTGTTTCACTACATACATTTGAGTAATTTTGTACTTCATAAAATTTTATGTCTTTTGCATTCACTTTCTCCTAGTGTCTTCCTATGCTAAAAATTTGCTTAAATCCCTTTGTTCATATTTTAGGTGTTCTGCACCGTTAACATGAAAACAGAAGTTGTCAGTACTATCAGTAGGCCTGACTAATTTTTAACAGCCAAAGTATAAAATTGTCGCGGAAGTTTCCATCTAAGTATAGCAATTAATTCCTGAGCAACCATTGAGTGTTACAAATACAAGAAAGTTGTATAGTTAATGGCTGATAATGTAGTAAAACTATGATTTCAGTCATGATAGTCAGTAATAATTATGATGATTTATTAATATTACATTTTGTTTTCAGATGATAAAAGCCATACAAGTTTTAAGGATACACTTATTAGAATTAGAAAAAGTGCAGGAATTGTGCAAGGATTTCTGCAATAGATATATATCGTGCTTGAAGGGCAAAATGCAATCTGAAAATTTACTTAGATCTGATTATCCACAAGGTATAGTAGTGTTTTTTCTTGTATCTATATCCAACTGATCCTTTTCTGTTTTCAGATATGTTGGGAAATAGTATAATAAATAATATTGAATCCAATAATAATAGCATGATGTCGCACGGTAATTCGGAAAGCGGATCTGCCTCAAATAGTCCTCCTCAGTATCCGATTAGTCCGCATCCAGTAAGTATATCATCCACACATATGCTTTCTAATTCACAGATGCATAGTTACGGTATTAAAATGTTTATGTTTCGTGGCATCACCCAATGTGAAACTTATACATACATTCAAAAGTGCTGCCCCTATAAGTTATTTGGATGCTTTAAAATTTTGCGAAAACTTGTGGACCCCGCTGTTTTAAAAAGGTTTCAAAAATCGGCTAACTGGATTTAGTTTTAACGAATTATCAATTATAAAAATAAAATTATAATCCTGATGCAAACATTTTCAAAATAAAAAAATGAAATTTTTAACGAACGACTGAACTTCTTAACAACGCATTCATACGTCTATGCATTGCAATACTTAAATTATTGATTACTTCTGAGTAAGATGATATCTCCCCATTCCTCTGTAGCAGCAACAATAACTTCTTCGGTATTTTTTGGTGGATTATTCCGATTGAAAAATGGCTCTTGATACATAATCCCAGACGTGCTTTATGGGATTCATGTCAGGTGACATCGCCGGCCAATCTAATCTTCTTCTGATGTTTCGGTTTTCCAATTCTTCTTGAACAGCTCTGGTGCGATGTGGCCTGGCATTGTCATCCATAGAGATGAACTGGTCTCCTGATTCATCACGTCTTCTTCATTCAACGCGGTCTTGGCCTAAGAAATGCAAGAGGCGACCGGCTACTAGGGATGGTCGGTATTTAATGTAACCGCTAATATAACAGTGTTCCAAACGTGTAACTTGAAACCGTGGTTCAGCTAGCCGATTGAACCGGTTTTTTTGAAATTTGGAATAGCGGTGCGCACTTCGGACACCGTCCAGCGTCTATCCAGCGGCAGCCGTTTGCCAATTTAAACCGTTGTTTTTGGAACCGTCTCATAAAACCGAAACAGTTGTGCGCACCTCGCACCAGCACAGAACCTATGCGACGCCGTCGAGCGATCTATCCAGCTGCAGCCGTTTGCCGACTTAAACCGTTCTTTTTGGAACCGTCTCATAAAACAGACACAGTTCTGCACACTTCGCACCAGCTGAAGTCGTTTGCCGATTAACAGGTTGTTTTTGGAACCGTCTCGTAAACCTGAAAAAGTGGTTCGCGTCAGCACAGAACCGATGCGGCATCGTCGAGCGCTCTCGCTCTGTCCAGTTACAGCAGTTTCAGTAACCATTTGTCAACGGAAAAAATGTTGTATGTAGTTGCGCAAATAATAATAAATAAAAATATATCTGTTTTCTTGCCACTTAACAATGTTAGACATTCGTCATGGATTTGGTAAATTAAAAGTATTTTTTAAAACCATTTATCATCTTAAAACACTAGGTTGATGCCACCTGAATCGTGTGCTATTTATTCACAATTAATTGATAAACAGATAAATAGAGATAATTGGTGTTTGATGTGGTAACATTTGACAATATAGGTAATGCTGCCCCAACAACCCACTCTATTAGATAGGCCATCGGCAGCACCCATAGAAACGCCCCCTTACTCGTTGCCGCATTATGGGGGGCCCACGCCTCCGTTGCAGCAGACGGGACTGCCCGCTCAACCTTCACCAGTGCCACAAGTTGCTGAAAGCCTAGTTGTACATGGATCAACGCCTTTATCGCAAATAGGTTTGATAAAATCTTCATAGGTATCTAATTCAGGTTGTAATTTGCGCTGGTTTAAGGGGCTCATCTTTGCCAGCCGGTCAATGCCCCTCCTTCAGATAGTTCGGGTCCTTTGTCTCCAGCTCCAACTACCCCGGGAGGCAGTAACGATGACTGCGATAGCGACTTCTCGCGAGGCGGAAAAAAGCAAAAACGAGGGGTCCTACCAAAACATGCGACTAGCGTAATGCGCTCGTGGCTGTTTCAGCACTTAGTGGCAAGTATATTGCTTTTATCCTGGCCGTAAAATGCCCGCAAAACGTCTGGAAATTCATACTAAGCATTAAGTAAGTTTAGATGAAGCGGTTCATTTATAACCCTCTGAAAGTATTTCAGCGAAGTCTGTTAAGTCGATTAATTATTGAGCAATGAAAGGCTTTTGGCATCAGCAGAGCCGTCATGAGCTTTTGAAATACGCAAGTTTAGATTTCGAAACGCGCTAACCTCAGGCACCCCCATGACCGGTTTCGAGCCTATTAAGGCCTAACCCATCACCTGGGTTCAGCCTGAAATTAGCGATTCCGAAACCTGCCAGAAAGAAGAACGGTGCCACCCAATATTGATAAAACAGATGGTCCCAAATCTTAGAAGAAGTACAGGCAGCTCTGAAAAATGCTCAAGACCAAAAGGCTTGGGTCCCGATGGAATTCCGGCTGAGATATTAAAGTTGATCGAGAGGAAGAATCTAGGGTGGCTTGCAAGAGTGTTCAATGTGATCTATGATACGGGCATCATACCCACGGAATAGCTGAAATATGAATTGGTTACCCTCCCCAAAGAGCCTAATACTAGGAAATGTAGCGAGTTTCATACAATAAGCTTGATGAGCCATCTATTGAAGATAATGATAATCCACAGTAGATTATTTAAACTGCGTGAGGAACATATGTCTGAGAACCAATTCGGATTTAGAAGGGCTGTAGGGACTAGAGAGGCTCTATTTTCGATCCAGGTGCTGTTTCAGCTATACAGGGATGTAAAGGCGTTTGACCAAGTGCGACACACGAAAATGATGGAAGTTCTGCAAACAGCTGGCCTGGGTGAGAAGGCCCTCGAAATGATCAATCAAAAATCTCTACTCGAATCAGAGGGCTTGTGTCAGGGTAGACAGAGA